GAATGGTATCAAAATGTTTCATTACTCTCACTCCTCAAGATATGCTCCTGGTGCTTCCTATCCAGAAAACATTTGTTTCATTTTATTTTTACCCCATATTTCATATATATTAACCAACAATATGGAGTTCAAAAACAAAACAGCAACATTAGAATTCATACTTCTGGGATTTACAAATGATCCACAACTGCAGCTCCTCATCTTCATCCTGTTCCTAGTTATCTACCTGGTCACCATCCTGGGAAACCTACTCATCATTCTGGCTGTCAGTTCTTACTCCCACCTCCACATCACCATGTACTTCTTCCTCTCCACCCTGTCCCTTCATGACATCTGTTTAAGCACAACCACTGTCCCACATATGCTGGTGAACATCCAAACACAGGATCAGAGCATCACCTACACGGCCTGCCTTTCTTAGACTAGTGTGGCCTTGATTTTGGTTGGTTTGGAAAATTGTCTCCTTGCAGTAATGGTCTATGACCGCTATGTGGCCATTTGTCACCCCCTGAGGTACAAGGTCAATCTGACCCCCTGCTTCTGTATCCTGTTGGTTCTGCTCTCCTTGCTCATTAGCACAGTGCATGCCCTGCTCCACATTCTGATGGCACTGCAGCTGTCCTTCTGCACAGACCTGGAAATCCCTCACTTATTCTGTGAACTTGCTCAGGTCATCAAGCTTACATGTTCTGATACCTTCACGAATAACTTTTTAATATATTTAGTAGCTAGTCTATTTGGTGGTGTTTCTGTCTTTGGGATTACTTTCTCTTATATCCAAATTGTCTCCTCTATTTTAAGTATCTCTTCAGTGGGGGGAAGATATAAAGCTTTTTCCACCTGTGGGTCTCATCTCTCAGTGGTGTCCTTGTTCTATGGAACAGCTTATACAGTGCACATGAGTTCTACAGTTGCAGACTCTCCCATTAAGAATGCAGTGGTTTCAATGATGTATATTGTGGTCCCACAAATGCTGAACCCATTTATCTACAGTTTGAGGAACAGAGAAATGAAAGTTGCTTTGAAGAAGCTCATCACATGAATACCTGTTCTCTAATTTTATCATTGGCTTTTGGCTTAGGTTGCTAGTATGAATAAAAGTGTTAGGAAAACAGGTGAGCCCAAATGTCTTATTTTCCATTGTCAACTTTGACCAAAATGATGATAGCTAAATATGCTTCTACTTGTAACCCATGTTTCCTTTTTATCTAGTTCTGTGATGTTGGTGAGTGATTTAAATTTCTTGAGTTCCATATCTTGCTCTGACCACAATAAGAAGAGCATGCATGAGGCTCTTGTTTTGTGATACTTTAGGTCTCAAGCTCAGATGAAGGCTGGTTGTAGAAGCTGAATATGGCAGATAAAGTTTTCAGTGAGGCTATAGTCACACCTGTAAACCTCTTC